ATGAAAGAGGTGGAGATTTCACCCTTGAAGATGAAGATCGAACTAGACGTCCAGTTGAGTTTGATGAAAAGCTTCTTGAAGCGGCCCTTGAAGAAAATCCTGCTTTATCGGTTGAGGAATTGGCAGTGGTTCTCAGGTAAAACCATACAACTGCTCTTCTCTCCATTCTCGCCAACTCGTTTCACCTTTTTTGGATAGACTTGTCACTGGCGACGAAAAATGGATCTTTTATCGAAATGTTAAGCGTCGTAGACAGTAGCTTGGTAAAGAGGAAGGACCCCAGCCAAAGCCGAGAAGGGAACTTCATGGGCAAAAGGTTCTTCTTTCAATCTGGTGGGATCGCCAAGGAATAATCCACTCTGAATATTTACCACCTAATGCAACAATTAATACTAAAATATACTGTCAGCAATTAGAGCGTTTGAACCAAGCTTTGAGGAAAAAAAGACCTGCTCTAGTGAATCGAAAAGAGGTGATGTTTCATCAGGACAATGGGCGACCCCACACAGCAAGAATCACGTCACAAAAGATCGAAGAACTTGGTTGAGAGAAAATAGTTATCCACCTTATAATCCCGATCTTGCTCCTTCAGACTACCATTTGTTTCGTAGCTTACAGAATCATTTGGAAGAAACAGCTTTTGTAACACAGGAAGAGGTTAAAACTGACATTTGTGAGTTCTTCGAATCAAAGCCAAAAGAATTTTACAGTAATGGAATTAGTAAGCTTGTTAATAGATGGAAGGAAGTCATAGATAATCATGGAAAATACATTGTTGATTGAATCTGTAAATAAATGTAACATTCGGTCACTTGTTTTCTTTATTCAAAATTCGGACAGAACTTATGGGATGACCTGATAGAATTGTAAAATCAGACTTCGTTATAACTTTATCTTATTTTCCTTTATTGTAACTGTTCTCTGTTTTGCTATAAAGGCGCACCCATACTCAAGGGATTTGCTGAATTTGACAAAAGATATAAAAATCTCTATCGAGTTTCTTTCGATATTCTTTCGAGTTTCTTCTTGAAACTAAACAATGGAAGTTAATGTATATTGAAGAATTCTCATTGTTTATGGTCTCCCGGTTCAGTAGAGATAGACGGATGTACCTGGGTTTTTTTTTCGAAATTAAAAAGAAAATATTAGTACTATCTACAAGTACCGCTTAGTGACTACGAATTCCTTATGTTCTCCACAATAAATTAACTTATCTTTTGCACCAGTAAATTGTAAGTAAAACAAAAATTATATCTACTTCGATTTCTTTGGCCACAGTAAATATGAACGTCGGGTGATTGTGAAAAGAAAATAGTTTTTTTTTTCTATTCTTGGACACCTAAACTCATTTTTGTTTTGATAGGATATTATTCAATGTTTTTGGCTTCAAGTGATTTCATTTTTTACCTGGGAAAGTGAATTTGCCACCAGCACAAAATGAATTCTTGCTATAAATCAATAATCGTTCTAACCACTAACTTGGCATAAAGAAAATACATGATAACACTTTCAAAGTCGTCACTGGTGCTGCTTGATGGTTAAAACAATATTCTGCAGATAAAAATGGATGCTGTTCCAACAGAGAGAATTCTTTATTTACTTGATAAAAGTGAATTGCTTAATTCCAAAAGCCCTTGTTTTTGGGGGTTATTTGTTTTTTTTTTGTTTTTTTAAGTAGGTTTTCTAATATTAAAATTGTTAAAAAAACATCAGTTTTGCATCTTCTACGATTCGGAAGATAATATAGCATCGAAACCCTTCTTTAATTTAGATCAGTTTTGGGAGCCGCTAATAAGTAGTTGAGCCGCTAATAAGGAAAGACAAATGACAACAATGCAGAATACTCAGCAGCAGCAATCAAAACATGAGCAGCAGCAGTGAAAATAGGACAGCCAGCGTCAGCAACAGTTGCAACCTAATCAGCAGGCAGGTTGAGTTTAAAGCTCCAAGTTCGCCACAGCAAATTGTCCTACGGGACAATGACCTAGTAGAAAAAAGGTTATGAATTTGGTAACATAGTGGTTATGAGTTCAAACTCTGGGTCGGGCGAGCAATAACAGAAAAATAATAAAATTAAAATAAAAACTAAATGATATCCGTAGGCATGAGCAGTCGAACGAGAACAGTCTAACCCCGGAGATTAAATAAAGAGTTCAGTTCAGAATTCTCCGTAGATTACCCAGATTGACATATACCTGAGGAAGGCCGTTGTGCCCTCAGGTGCGACAACAAAATGAGGACAATAATCCGAATATAAATAATGTAAATAATGGTAACTCCTCATCCCATAAATTCAGACACATATAAAAAGTTATATAACGTTTTCCCATACACATATATACCGGGCGTGACAACAAAATTTCCATCTCGTGTAGCAGAACAATTTTCCATGCCACAAAATGTTTAATATCTAAAAAAACACTAAACTAATAGAATTTCTTTTTTCCGGGTTTTTAGATAAGACATTTATCCATCTCGACACCATTTGTCGTATGAATCAGTGAAAAACCCTTTGAGTCATTCAGCTAGAACGTGAACAGGTTAAAATCGTTTTGTATCATCCCCACTATGTCTTCTCAACTGAGCAATGGTGAGAGGAAAAAGATAATTCAAACCTTCAATAATGGTACCAACATTCATATTCTGGTTTTCATATTCAAAGTTCATTCAAGAATCATCAAGAGAACGGTGAATAATTTTTAAAAAGAGGAAACAGTAGAGCTAAAGAGATAAATTAGAAAAAATCCAACTCAATTCATAAGTCGTTTGGCACGTGACCGAGGAGTTTTAGTTATGACAGTCCAAAGAGCAGTGAAAAAGATTGAAAATGAAATCGTACGTGAAGCCTCTGAGGCAACCTGTTACTTCAGAACAGAAAGTTAGAAGGTTAGAGAGGACGAAAGTCATCTTGAATAAGGTGGAAAATGATTATTTGAATGATACTTGAACATTATTTCAATACTTCATGCGCTTCCGATCCTTACCGATGATTAATTAATGATGAACATGTCATTTTCGGTTATGATCGATTTCATCACGATTCTTCTGATAAGCATAGAGAGTAATTATTTTATTGCTCAAAGCAGAGTTCAATAGTGTTATAACAACCTCGAAGAATTCCAGTAAGATATTTTTAATCATTTCTAAGATACAAGGGTTCTGATCTTAATCAAACAATTTGACAAATTTGCTGTTACATGATTTGGACAATTTTGCTGTTACATCCAGTATATCATAAAAATGTATTTTAAGGTATGCTATATTTATGGGTAAAAGTTATCAATATTAGAGATAGACCATATGCAAATATAAAAGTGGACACTTAGGTTAGCATCAAGCAGTTACAGTCTGTTTCCTGGTTGAGCGCAATCTTCAGGCCATGTGTGCTGTGTTTTGGATCGACTATATATATATATATATATATATATATATATATATATATATATATATATATATATATAATTTTTTATTATAAAAGATTATAATAAAAACATTTTGAAATTGCACACAAAAGCTTTCATGCTTCAACACTATGATTGTACTTCTTCAGGCGATGATAAGTAACTGGTGATTAAATGATTCTTTAAGGAAATTTTTAAAACAATGTGTTACTTTTTTCCGAAAGTTAAAGATGGGGATATAAGGTAAGAATTAAAAATAGAGTTGTGAGTATGTCTTGATTAACCAATTAAATGTCAGATATACGGTAAATAGAAAAGTAAACTCAGAGGGAAGAGGTGGGTGAGTTATTTTTTAATATCACGATAAACCTGAACATAGACATGGCATCATTGACGATTACGGAAAATATGCTGAGTTCGAATTCCACTCGAATAAATTACATTCATTTATATGGTAATACCCTTGGGGTAAGTATTAATCCTCTTCTTTTCCCTCCAGCTATGGGCAAATAGCATAACAGACTGCGTTCTATATCCTTGATTGGCAACTGGTCTAGGAGAAGGACAACTCTGAATTCAAACACTGAGTGTTTGGGGACTTTGTGACACGTAGTGCACGAGGTCTCTGTATTCGGTCTTTCAACAAGTGCAGTTGTTTCTGCACAAAACCATCACCACGAAAACCAAATCATATGTGCCTGTGTCTGGGCTGTTGGTTCCTAGAACTGAGCTACTTGACCCTCATACGACAGTAGAGTCCACCATTAAAGCTACGAAATTATATTAGAAAAGAGCAGCTTGGTTAATAATTAGCTTATTGCGAAGCAAAATATACACTCTAAAAGTAATTCAATTGCACGCTCCAAAATAAATACAAAAATTCAGATGGGAAAACTAAAAAGTATTACGACTAATGATCTGAAAAGTGAGGGAAACTTTTATACGATGGGGTACCCAAAAGTAATTCTGCCATATAATTTTATTCATTTATTGTTGCATGTTTATATTCTTATCACCTTCAAAGTATTCTCCATTTGAAGAATGCATCGCTCCAGACGTGTTTTTCACTGTTCAAAGCAGTCCTGGAAGGACTCTTGTGAAGGTTATGGTTTTTAATGGCTCCGTCGTTTTCGTCTTAACTTCTTCTGCATCTGCAAAAGGTTTTCCGTTGAGGACTTTCTTTATTCGGTGGAACAAAACAAAAGTCGCAGGGGACGAGATCGGGTGAATAGGGAGGGTGGAGAAGTAGGGTCATGCCATTCTTGGTCAGAAACTGTCTCACACTCAAGGTGGTGTGCGCTGACTCATTGTCGTGATGAAACCACCACCCTCCACTTTTCCACAGGTCAGGGCGTTTTCGTCTCACCTTTTCTCGCAAACTCTTCAGGAATTGCAAGTAAAAGGCCTGGTTAACAGTTTGATTAGGAGGAACAAATACTTTGTGGAGAATTCCTTTCACATCAAAAAAAGAAATCAGCATAGTTTTGACATTGGACTTCACTTGACGCGCTTTTTGGGGTCGTGGTGACGTTGGATGCTTCCACTGACTTGATTGCTTCTTCATTTACGGGTCGTAGCCATAGCATCAGCTTTCGTCACCAGTGATGACCTTCGAAAAAAGGTATGGATCAACTTCCAGTTTACGACAGGCATCCATTCGTGACTTCTTTTGATCGTCCGTGAGCAAGCGAGGCACCATTTTCGCTGCAACTCTTTTCATTCTCAACTCCTCAGTCAAAATCCGTTGACATGAACTCCAAGACACACCAGTCAAATCAACAAGTTCGTCAATTGTTCTGGTCAAGGCTGGTCTTCCAGTGACAATTGACCATTCCTAAAACGTTCAAACCACTCATAAACTTGTGTTTTACTCATGACAACATCCTTGTAAGCAGTTTTAAGCCTGACAACTGTATCGGCTGTTTTTTTTCGCGGCAAATAACAGAATTTCACAGCAGCTCCTTTTCAGCCAAAATAGACGGGCTTGTCACACAGAAAACGATTCCGGTTACTTTTGGGCCCCCCCTCGTATTATTTGGAAAGGTGGCATCAATGATAAATGGTGGAGAATCTAGAATCTAATGTAGAAAACTTTAGGAATACAAAAACCACGAGAGAAGAGAAACGATAACATTTGAGTGAAATTATGAATAGAAATTTGCAAAATTTAAATTAAATGGAGTTTGAAAAAACAAAATGGCAAAATGGGAGCATCATTAAAGACATAATCCTTATTAAAATTCAATATAGGAAATGATCATCAGAAACTGACCGAAATTCACGTCTAAATGAAGAACGAGTGCCAGGAATAGTGAAAATAACGTAGGAGACATGAATAGGAAGATGATTAATGCAATTGATGAAGCAGCAGAAACAAACAGCAAAGCAAACGAAACTAACAATAACTAAACGACACAATCAAAGTGAATAGAAGAACTAATTTAAAAGCGAAATATCCGTATAAAATGAATAGAGACCAAATTTAAACACAGGCTAATCAGCAAGTGGCTAAAGAAGCAAAAAAAAGGGAAAATGAACAGGAAAAGAACAAAAGTCGCTATCAGGAAAAGAAATAACTTGAAGCATGATCCATCTTCAGGATAAACGTTCGCATTAAAATACAGAAAATTTAGGAACAAATTGTTAAGCCTAACAAATCAGAAGCAACGTCTCCTTGCTTAAAAACTAAAGTGAAGAATGAAAAACCACGGATGAACAGCAGATGTTGCCGCTGTAGAGAAAGAAATGACACAGTAAACCATATAATTAATGAATGTATCGAATTGTCTCCAAACGAATTCAAAAGAAATCAACGTAGAGTATTGCGAACTGTACAAAACATTAGGTTCGACCATTTAGACAATGTTTTACAATACAAACTAGAAACTTCACCGGAAAATTAAAATCATAAATTTCAAGGTTAAAAGAAAAAAAATACCAAATCGTAGACGGACAGGTGAAAATAGTAAAATAGTAAAATAGTGAATGACAGAAATATCGGAAAATTTCCTTGGAGCTTGTAAATCTTTGAAATATGAAGGATAGAGTTATACCCATAATAGTAGAAAAAATTGGAACCGTGCCAAAGCAATCGTTTGATTTGATGAGGTGAAGCGTGAACGGGCTGAAGGCGTTCTGCAAGCGAGTGACGAAGTACGAGCTAATATTTCAACACCTCGGTTTCCATCGCGTGAGACGAGTGAAGAAAGTGGCGACGGATATCGGCGGCAGATTTTTCACTTTTGGGTGGACCACGGTGAACGGCGAATTCTGACGACCAACGGTGTCAGAGATAGAAGGACGACATCATGGTGACTAGTCTGAAGTCAAGTGGTCTACGACGGAAGTGGCAGTAATCGACGACGGAAGTGGCAGTAATCGACGACGTCGGTCACAGCGAAGAACCCGGAAATCAAAGCACACCAGCTACAGAAGAGATGGGCGTCATTTTCAAAGACGTTACAGACAATAGCGTAGCTGACGTCGACGAGGATACTGAGATGGGTGCTGAAGATTTGAGGAGATTTACTGTTATTCAATACACAGCGATGAACACTAGGCCTCTGTTTGGATAATAAAATGCATGAATAACAATAATAATAATAATAATAATAATAATAATAATAATAATAATGAACACAAAAAATGGTATCATGAAATAATCAAAATATTCTATCGTTCAAAATGTAAGACCTCCAGATTTGAATCTATTTGATTTTTTAGTTGGAATAAAACATTTGAAGTGTTTCTCTATTTTTCCATGTTAGGATATTGCTGTGGTAAAAGCCGCCTACTCTCCATACTAACATGAATAGACAGATTCATTTATGATAAGTAGTCCTGGTTAATTGTCAAAGGAAGAAGATAATACTATGTCAGTGACTCGTCTCGCTGAGTACTAAATACTACTATAACGACTGACTCTGTCGAGTTAAGTACTGTGTCTTGCCAGACTCTACATCACAACAGATATGTATCTACACATCTAGTATTCCACTCATTTCGGACATTTATCTTCACCTGGTTCGAATAATGTGTGGAAAATACTTAAATTCGGAATTTCAAATAATACAAAGAATATAAAAAGAGATACAGGCGAAAGCTTTATTATAAAAACAATGAAAATAAAGATACCATTTAGAAAATTGTGCAGAAAATTGAAAATGCTTAGTCTTCATTTTTTACCGTTTCAATAAGATATATAATTTAAGAAAAGACATAACACATGTTGTGACCATCTTTAAAAAATATGATTATCATATTACATGAAACAAGGAAATATAACTCCTCTTGAAAAAATAAACCCTACGCTTGATATTTTGCCTTCGGTGAACTTTGATGTAATTGGAAAATGGTTCCCAAGTTATAACAGTTAAAAGGAATCATGTAGCTAGATTTGTTTTAGGATAGTTTAATGATGAACAAAGTTTTCCTTTTCTCGCCTGTAAGATACTATACAATGTGTATTCCCTTCATTATAGTTATAGATACTGGTATTGATCACTTCCATGCAAATGCGATACAACTTGAAATCTCGATTGGTTCGAGAGATCGATTTAATAACTCTGTCATAAAATTATGTTCGCTAATTACTTCATGCATGGAACTTACAATAAATAATTTACGCCCAAACAATTCGTCTTCATTCAAATATTTAAGAAAGATTGTTTATGAGTTTGACAAACATTTCACAATTTGTAAAGTTTTAGAATTAATTCATCTCGAATTAAACAAACAATATCTTGTTTTGCTTTACTGTTTAAACAAAATCCGTTTACGTTCCATAAGACGGATTATCCAGCGCAAGTCTGACGAGTTAATCTCCCACGGGTCATAAAAGAAACGTAATAAACGATGTGATTCAGTATATAAAGTGTTGGGTCGTGTCTTAGTACTAAAATCTGTAAACGTAAACTGTCTGACACTTGTGAGTCTTCTGACAACAGGAATTTGATTTCATCTCAAAGACAGTATAAATACAAGAACTTGAACTGTTACCGAATTGTTATTAAGGATAAAAATTAAAATCATAAATCAATGTCGTCTTCTCTATTTTATGTTTTCTGAAAACAAATACTTAAAGAAAACACACACATGAGTTAATATTCTCCAATATTATCTAAGTTGCTCTTGTCTTATATACTGTCAAGCTTTTATATAAATATACACGGTGTATCAAAAATACTCACGATATGAATATCCTACCATTGTTAAACCGAACACTTCTCACACTAAACACTGAAGACAGACTAGCCACAAATGTACACGAATAACAAATGTTACCTAGTCTACATAGCAACACAGCACCATCTACCGTAAACTTTCTTTAAACTTAATAACTCAAAAAAGAAGTATTTGCGGACATATGATTATATGAACTTTTGTTCTTGTCTTAGTGTGATGAACCCGCCCAAAAGTTTTTTAACGTATTTTTAATACAACCTGTAATATATATGTACTAGAAGCATTACCCGGCGTTGCCTGGGTTTATTCAAAAAAAAAGATCACGAACCTCATCCAATCTGTTAAGTTAAAATAAAGATTTTTCTTTAGTGCCTCTTATCTATATGGCGAAATATTATAATGACATGAAGTGTGAAAACATTTATAACGGGAGAAAGTTGTTTTTTACAGAAGCACAAAAGATATAAAAAAAAATTGTCAGCATATTAATCGCAATTGATCTTCGAAAATTGTTGAGGAGAAATGCTTTGCTGACAGCTTTTGCTCAAACTACATCGAATGAACAACATGAATTGGAAGGAGAAGAAATTCAACAAATTCTTCTCCTAGCAGCCGTGCCAAGGCTGAAAACCAACGTTTACAAAGACTGTATAGAATTGTTCTTTGCCCCTCAGTTTCGACAGCTCGAGTATCAGAGGTTCTGGCAGCGTTCCTTCCTTCATCGTCTAGTTAACCATTGCTCATTAGTTTCTGCTGACCTTGCATTAGCTGTACGAATAGCATTTTGTTTCAGTCTAATTTGAGTTTCTTGTTGTAAAGCGTTTCTTCTCCGTGCTTTCATTCGTTTGACTGTAGTAGTAGCATGTCCAAGTAAAGGATTTCGCTTTCTTGGCATTACTGTCAGGCTGTAGTTGGAGGGGGTTGGCTAAGCTTTTTGAATAACAATAAAGTAATCAATTAAAAAGCAAGAATATTATACACATTAATAGACACAATAAATTAAATGCAAGTTTATAAGGGAGACCACGGAAACGTGGTAAACAATTATAAGCAAGCTCGTAAAGTTCGGATTTATCTAAAAATAGACTACCAAAAAACGTTCTAGTGATAAAAATAAAAATTAACGTGTAGCTAGAAACCTACCCACTATGAACGTTAAAACGTACACGCTAAGTTTATCATAATTATAAATGAATCGAAAGAGGGTCTTTACATTATTTTAAGTGCATTTTTCAGAATAAAACTGTCAAAATTTTAGGGCTCAAGTTTCCAAATATATGAGTTTGTAAGCATTATTTAAACGCTGATTAGATGATGATAAATACATAATTAAAAATTGGCATTTATGCTTAAACTTTTTTAATAATATGATTTTCACAAATTTAAATTTAAAGTATCAAAAATTCAAAATATACATGCATGAAGGCAGCCTACCATTTTAGTGGATGACAACTTTGATCCGAATGAGATTTTTTGCACTTATTTCATCACATAGCACTAATGAAAATTACACGT